TACAGGTGGCATTCTTAACTTCCAGTTCAGTGGAATCAGTGTTGTGTCTCCTGGTAGGAGCATTCCTCCCTTTGAACCTAAGATCTCTAGACCCACAGAGAATAGGGTCATGGGGACAGGAAGCAAAAATTTTGTGAGTGGGTCACTAGGGGTAATAGTGAATGGTGCCACTCTTATTTCCACCCCTTGATTCCTGGACCCATGAATCCTGGCTATGGGAGAAACAGCACCATGTAATGGATGCTGGTTTAGCACATATATGTCTCTTTGTGAATATTGCCTCCACTCTGCAGGTTAATGCCACCTAGCTGGTGCTGTAATTTTGTTTTTAGAAGGCCATTCCATCATTCTATCAAGCCAGCTGCTTCAGGATGATGCAGAACATGGTAAGACCTGTGAATTCATGAACATGGGCCCAATGCTGCACTTCATTTGCTGTGAAGTGAGTCCCTTGATCTGAGGCGATGCTGTGTGGGATACAGTGATGGTGGATAAGGCATTCTGTAAGTCCGTGGATGGTATTTTGGCAGAAGCATCACATGTAGGGAAGGCAAATCCATATCCAGAGTAAGTGTCTATACTGGTAAGAACAAAATGCTGCCCTTTCCATGATGGAAGAGGTCCAGTGTAATCAACCTGTCACCATGTTGCTGGCAGATCACCTGGAGTAATGATGCCATATTGAGCACTCAATGTTCATCTCTGCTGCTGGCAGATTGGGCATTCAGAAGTGGCTGTAGCCAAGTCAGGCTTGGTGAGTGGAAGTCCATTTTGCTGAGTTCATGCATAACCTCCATCCCTGCTGCCATGGCCACTTTGTTCTTTGGGAAATAACAAAGTGGCTGGGGATAGAGGATGACTGGTTTGCACAGAACACACTGTCTTATCCACTTGATTGCTAAAATCCTCCTCTGCTGAGGTTATCCTTTGGTGAGCATTCATATGAGACACAAATATCTTCACTTCCTTGACCCATTCTGAGAGGTCTATCCACATAACTCTTCCTCATACTTCCTTGTTTCCAATTTTCCAATCATGTTCCTTTGAAACTAGAATCAAGAAAAACAGCATTGGCCAGATCAATAGCTGCATGTCAGGTACCAGGAAACGTATTAATTTCCTCAAGCAATGAAACCACATCTGGAACAGCTGCTGCAACTGGAGTCACCACCTGGTTAAGTTTATGATAATCCACTGTCATTCTTCAAGATCCATCTCTTTTTTTGCACAGGCCTAATAAGCAAGATGAATGGGGATTTAGTACAAATCACCACCCCTGCATCCTTCAAGTCCTTGATGGTGGCAGTAATCTGTGTGATTTCTCCAGGAATGCAGTATTGCTTTTGGTTTACTATTTTCCTTGGTAGGAGCAGTTCTAATGGCTTCCACTTGTCTCTTCCTACCATAACAGCCCTTACTCCATTTGTCAGGGAGCCAATGTGGGGTTTCTGCCAGTTGCTGAGTGTATTTCAGTTATATATTCTGGAACTGGGAAAATCACTACAAGATAGTTTTGGGGACCCACTGGACCTACTGAGATGAACCAGCTGCCCTTCTCTGACTGGTGGGCCACAGTGACATTTTGGGTCCCCTGGAATTAGTGTCAGTTCAGAGCCAGTATCCAGTAATCTGTAAAGTCTGATTATTTCCTTTTCCCCAATGGACAGTGTATTAGTTCTCTAGTGCTGCTATAACAGAAATACCAAAAGTGGATGGCTTTAACAAAGAGAAATTTATTCTCTCACAGTCTAGTAGGTTACAAGT